GAATACGATCAGCATGAAGGTTGGTGTCATCAAGGTTGAGGCCTATATGCAGTGGTTAGTTCTTTCTTCTTTCAAGTCTCCACCCTGATCTAGGGAGGGTTGTCGATAGTACATACCAAGATCAGCGACTTGAGACAAAAGCCAACTAGTGACGCTAAGTAATGTCTCAGATGCACTTTCAAGAGATCCATTAGATATGTCCTGGAATATGCTCCCTAGTTGCCGCTGGTAGCTAACCCATTTTTCTTCGAGAGCGCCTTCTGCGTATTCGTGGTCTTCTGTCATGGAAACATCGGCGCTCGCTGTCGCTTGTGGCATGGCATTCACGCTGGACATGTTATTACTCGCATAGCTCATAGCATTGCTTTGTTGATAAACATTTGCGGATCCGCTTGAGCTCTGTGCTGACTGATGGAGGCTCGGGCCAGCTGCGCTCCCCGTTTCCGACGCAAAGTAGGTCGAGGCAACGTCAGGTGTCATCATCTGCAGGCCTGCAGGTTGCCGTGAACTAAAGTGTTGCGCATCGTAGACGGGATTTTGCGGGTTTGGTTGGGCAACGTTGTACATCATTGTGGCCGCAGTACCGTAGCCGCCGAAACCTTGCTGCTGGCGTGAGTCGTGACCATACTCAGAGCCATAGGCGATTGCTGTTCCAGGCATGTTTGCTGCAGGGAAGGATGCACTAGGTTCCGAATAGTAGCTACTGTAGTTACCCGCAGCTCCTATTCCACGCCCTGACGACGAAGAAGTTGCAAGGGAAGCAGGGCGATATCTGTCGTTTGAGGATCCGGCAACTGAACGGCGCTGCTGGGACGGATCGTGAAGTGAATATCTTTGGTTGGGGTTTGAATGAACCGGTGGCTCATTCTGCCTCCTTAATCGGCTCGTGTCGTCCATGCCCCGAAGACCTTGGATGGCATACGACCCTGCCGTCGCTCCCAGCCGATGGGTGGTCGGTAGCACTGGTGACTGTAATGTAGCCAGTTTCAGTTATTCGAAGTAGCTGCTGGATAGTAGAGGCTAGGTTGCTAAGAAAGGGTGGGAAGTCCTTTGGACTTGATGTGTTTGTTTCGATATATAATAGATGATGTACAATGGAGCTGTTGACGATGCTGGAGGGGTCACCGCGGGGTCGTTAAGCAGATAAAGCCCACTCGGGGAGTTGTCGCGATGATCGATAGTCGGGGGTGTGTTGAGGCAGGGAATGGATGGCTAGTTAGATGGAATGGTAACCAAGTTGAAAGAACAAAAGTCTTCACAAGCAGGGTGCCGCCGGCCTATTATTCTCAAACAAAGCTCTGTGCTGTTTACTGATCAGGCAAGGGAGCTGATGGCTCAGCCGGGGACCTGGGTAGCAATGTAGTTTATCAAGTCAAATCCCAATCGTAAGCTAAAGCTTAGCGCGTTCATGCCCGGTAAAGAATGGATGCCGAAAAAGATGACGAAGAGCAAGGCGTTAGGCCTAAGTAGTTTGGTCTGGGGCTTTGGGCCAGGGCTGATTGCGGATGAGTTGTCAAACGGTCGTCTCGCCGTCTACAAGGAGGATCCTAGTGAAGGCCCCATGTAAGAGACCTTGAGCATGACAAGCTCGAGCCCACTGCGATCTGCTGGGGCCAATACCACGCAACAGGGTCTTGACGAGGGATCAGAATGGGTGCTCTTGGGAAAAAGCTTTTCACTAAGCCGGTACGGGCGTTTGAATCCGCCTAGTCGGTGTCGTGACAAGCCTCTGGTCACGTTGAGGAATGTGCAATTGACGATAACTACTGGGAGACCAGAGTATGATATCGAAGGATCGACTGTGGGCCGCGGGAATAGATGTGAATCGCAGATGACGAAACCTATAAATGGCAAACAATGGATAGCCAAGGGATCTATATAGCGTCTTCGCAAAAGAAGCATACACTCATTGAATGTGCACTATGATATGCTAAGGGCCCACCATCAAAGACAGGGGCTATATGACTGATGAGACTGTAGACTATGGAAGTGGATTGGGAAGGGGGTTTGTGATGAGAAGAAGGAGGGGGTGTAGATGTGAAGGGCAGGCAGGGCAAGATGAGGCGTATTGTTTTAGACTATCAGCTAAAGACGCTGTGTGAATGGCGTCAGGGCACCCGACGTCCATCTTATATGACCCTTGGAGAATGTCGGCATGAGGCGAGAGTCGTAAATACATATGTAACTGGGCCATTGGGTTTGGATAAATAGAAAACAAAGTACGGAATATGCTTAACATGCTTGGCCAAAAAGAAAATGGATGAGAGAGACGTGAGGCAAGGTCTAGGACGAGTTTGAGTGGCTCAAAAGACCATGAAGGCGGTCCAGATGCAAGAGAATTGGCCTCCATCAAGCAAAGCTCCTGGCAACAGCTCTGGAGATTGTAGAAGGATCGGCGTTGTCTATCTCCATCCACCACGTAACAAACACCCCTGGCCCAAAGCCTTGGTAAGAGGCACCAGGAAAATTAGAGGGAGACATTCATCGACGTGGCTTGCCATGGGGTGAGCCCAAAAGCTGTGGAGTGGGCGCGCCTCGGAACCTGGGGCGTCATGGGTGATTTCAACAAGTACCGGACCACAAATAGGTTTGCAGGGTGTGTATGTAGTCTACATCCTGCTCCAACAGCAATTGCTTGTGCTGGGCGCTGAACAGCGTCTTCTCTGCTGTTTCCACTGGTGTCTGTTCCGGGGATCGTATTCTGCTCTTTTCTTTTCTCTTTTAATAGCTGGGTATCAATGCATTAGATTCAAGATGAGCCAGTTTCTTGGGCTGCACATGTGTTGTTATTTTTTTTGTCATGGATGTTGATTTTCTGTGCATCCTGAGAAGTACCGATTCTAGTGATGAACCTTGGGTTTTTTGCAGTCAATTGACCCTCTAGATAATATTCTAAGTAACCTGAACCTTGGATTTCAGCTGCAGTCCTCCATCGTGAATACCGAAGGGGTGATCAGGGCTTAAGTGCAGTCTTGGTTCATGTTTTGTCGAAAGTGTAAAGTGGGTTGCCGGCCGAAAAGACGAGGAAAAAAATCTTGAGACAAAGACCCGCCATACTCAACTTTGACTAGAGAGCACATTACTGAGCGAGCACCCCACGATCCGTGAGTTTCATCCATGGCTTTCAAAGCATTCATATTTGAATTGAAAGCTTTCTATCATCTTCCGGTTGTATTATTGTAGGCAAGTAGTGCTTGAAGAAAACTGCCATACTGCAGTCTACCACGTAGCATATAAAGCAATAAATACGTGCAAGGCAATATGTCGAGTTGCAGTAGAGCCGGTGTGATCAGATGCTAAAATGCGTTATGTTAGTTGGTTAGCGGAACATTCTGTTACCTCGAGATCGTGTGAGAAATGACCAATGTAATGGTCAAAAGGCCAAGTTGTTTTAGAGCAACCCGCTTGTCAAAAACAAGCCCTGCCCCCAGTGCAACATGGGGAAGGTTACCACTGTCAGTCGAGTTACTATCGATCGTGGTATTGGATGGTACCGAAGATAATCGCACTGCAGGGAACTGTCCGCAACAATTACCAGACATAGGCAAAGGCATTCATGAATGCACCAGCATTATCAAATGACATGTTCTCTTCAATTTCCGCCCTCCCGGTTCTCAATCAAGGGAGACTAGTGGATGATGTCTTTGCATGTCAGTAATAACTCAGGGCTAAGCCTGAGAAGCATAGGGACTAGGGAGGATCTCGAGGGTGACAGGAAAAGCAATGCGATACAATGGCTCAAGTCGCAGGAAAAGAAAAGAAAGGAAAAACAACACTGAACCATATCGAGGCATAGTGTTGCTCCCCAGCCCACATATGGAGATGGTTCCATATAAGCAAGCCGAAAATAATCGCTGGCCAATGAATGATGAAGCTCACCCTTGTTGAAGTTTTGGTGCTCGTGCTTAGATTAGAGGTACATAGACTGGCTCTCGTGTCAACCGGAGAGGGCGATATTGGTATGGGACGTGCCAGCAACAATGCTGAAGCTTGGCTCACTCTTTGCTTCACTCTATGGGTGATTCGGGATGTTCAGCCGCAGGTACAGGACCCTCATGGTGGTATTGTGATCAGGCACAGGCGGTCAGTTCGATTGATTCTCGCAATGGAGCCAATGGCAGTGGAGGGGATCTCTCAGTGGGTGAACGTGTATACTTGATAACTTAGGTGGTAAACAAGACGACGGGCTTAGGCCGGGTATTCGATGACACATGTCAACGAGGAGTACGTGGGACCTTGAACCTGGTTGACTTGCGTGTGTTGGAGGAGAGAAGGAAAGGACGGTGTTGATAGCCAGAACGGAGTTTGCGGTCGGTCAAGGCGGTTATTCCCTAACGAGATGCCTACCCTATGAGGAAATTCTCGGTCCAGGTAGTAGGTACGCTATGGACACGCAGTACAGGTGCGAGTCAGGACAGCGGTCAAGAGCATGCTCACACATTCGAATTAGCACGGAAATAGACAATTATAGGTACCTATGTTAGCTAACAGTTCAGATGATCGGTCTAATCGGTCATTCAACTACCATGATCATCTGTGGCACAACCATGACAGTCGTGAGGCTTGCAGCCACATTTGATATCAGTGGCTCAGAACGCCGTATGGGTAGTAATACGATGTCGATGGATGCATGATATCTGGGAGTATCTCAATGCATTGAAGAGAACGTTATCACGCGTACATACGCCAATTTAATAACAAATGTGAGCTCAATTCCAGGTTAGTAGTGCCTACCTATTTTCACCACTAATTCTACAGCATGTACGTACCTATTGTGTATGGCAGCCACTAAGAAAAAAGTCAACCTAAGTTAGGGTAGGTTGCTTTCACCGCCACACCTACTTTACAACTCCACGATGCAAATCTTGAAGACAACATTCAAAAACTTGATCTCTAGCAACACAACGTCATGGATTACGAGATATACAGTGTTTCAAAACCAATGGCCCATCCAATACAGAAACAAGATATCATTTCATTGTTAATAGCTCGGTTCCAAGTCAAGCTCCTATCCGTGCTTGATAATTAAACCCAAGTTCAGCAACATAAACATCACTGGCTACCCTGAATTGGCCAACATCTTCAACGGCTGCAGGTGCTCTGACAAAGCCGTCCGCCGCAAGGTTGGCACCAAGATCTCCCCACAGGAAGTACCGGTACTGCGAAAAACCAGGGTCATTGCTGAAGCGCACTAGCTGACGCGCATATCGGATCATGTTTCACGCGTCTAGCACTGTAAAAGGCAACGCGCATCAGCTATGCAGGATACGCTGTTTCTAACCTGACTGGGGGCGACGATATCCAAGGTGCTGAACAGGACCCGATACCCAATCATTGCCCTGCCCACAGCTGAGCCATTGGCCAAAGAGAAAAGCTATGCGATGGATTGTGGTCTTGTCCGCCTTGCATAGCATTCAACAACTCCAAGCGGAGCGTTCTAATGAATGTTGTGCATGAGCTGGTGTAATCCGGTTATGCTCTCGATCAACACGCATATGCACCCCATTTTCGTTAGATCGAGTCACCAAGAAAACGACGATCAAGACGATCTAAGCCTCGTCTAAAAACCGTTGGCCGTTGAATTCTATTTTCTCCTCACCTTGGACAAGATTGGGAAGATTCGAGATATCTGTACACCGCATGTATCTAGCACAGCGTGCCGCAATGGCGTCGGTCGTAATTGCAGGGATCTGTGTCCACTCGTGGTTACGTCCGCCCTAAAAATTTCCGACCTCAAACCGCCGTCTGTCCATGCTCGACACTCCACCTCAGCCACTGCCAAAAGATACCTCTACCTCTACCAAAGCCTAACTTTAGCTGGACCAGCGTTGGCACGGTCCAAAAGTGACACCGACGCGACGGCCTCAACGTTGAGTCCTTGGTAGTTCCGCGCGTGATGTTGACAACTAGACCGACAACGTTGGTTCCCTCCGTCATCCATCAGGTACCTGCTATAGGAGAGAAAAGTCCCCATTACGCCACACCGTTGTGCCGTTGGATCTGGAAATTTAGACCAACCGCTTCTTTTCCAGAGCATGCTTGGGCTGAAACACCTTCAAGCCACCCCACTGAAACTGTTCTAGAAACCTTCTTCATTGCTTCTACCACTATCCGCTCTACCGATGACAGTTGATCGGAATTACCATTATCGCGAGATACAACTAATATCGGCATTTCCGTTGTTTCATGCCACCGAGCTGCGCAAGAACAGAGATTCATAACATGAAAGCGCTGAATCACTGATGTCCATCGCCTAATGCGCAAACACCGGCCTCTGTACATCTGAGTATAGTACATCGCTCGTGGAGACGCTGCTACCACCGGCGTGTAGACGCAATCACATTGTACGAACGGACGCGAAGCTCTTCACCGCCTACTCTGCCAAAGATGATGAATTATTCAGTGTCCCGAGTTGACAGTAATGAGCATGTCCCACCTGTCTGCCCCATCCCGATCTAATGTCGATACATACCATGGCAGTCAAGGTCTGGGGTTGGTAGTCAGGTCAATTCCTACAAGTAACGGCACAATGATTCGCTCCATCATCATCAAACGACTCCATTACCAGTTACAGGACTACTGATGATGGGACGACCGGTTGACGGGAGCCATCAACTCGGTAGCGGCTGGTTAATTACCGCAGAGGATCACTTTACAGGGTTCAAATGGCTTGTCAGGGCATTTGCTGCAATCCGGTTCGGCCGGTAAGTGTTTAACTTCTCTAGCACGTCTGAAAATGTCTTACATGGCAAGCGAGATACTGGAATGTGCTGTTTTCAATCCCTGGTTTGTTGTTCCAGTTCATCACATTGACCGAGACGAACAAAGCGGGAAAAAGTTCGGCGTCCCTATCAAGGGTCCCATGCTACCCAGGAATTTCCGAACGCCCAAACAGGCAGATACTTGTGAATTGGCCATCGGGGTTTGAGTCAGTGGCAGCGATATATCGGCCAACATGGCTATAAAGGGTTACCAAGAGTCGGTGTTTCAATATCAGCCAAGACGCTGCTCGGGAGAATCACAAACCAAGGTTACAGTGTTTGGCACCAACTCGGAATGCCATGAGCATTTCTAAAACTACAAAAAGTGTTGTTTGTACATGGATATCGGATAGGAATGGGAGCAGAGCCCCACTCATCATCCTTCTCATCATCATCGTCATATCCGCCGTTGCAGACTTGACCCAAAGTTCTGCAAAATCAATTACTTGTAGAAACTGCTTATCGTTTGACCCAGGCAGGCATCTTACGAGCCTTGACATGGCCGTGCTTCTTTCTCTCCACAGTTCTTGGATCTCTTGTGATACAGCCAGCTGTGAACACGAGGTTAGTCATTACGAAATGATTGATTATGAAGGATATAACCAAACACATACCTTTTCGAAGAGCAGTCTTAAGTGCTGGCTCGTGAACGATCAGAGCTTTAGCAACCGCCAACGTAAGGGCTTCGGCCTGGCCGGTTGTTCCACCGCCCTCCACCAATGCCCAGACGTTATACTTGTCCAATCGCTCGGTGGCCTGTAGAGCCCAAACCGCACTTTCACGGTCGTGAACACGGCCAAAGGCCTGACTCAAGGTTTTACCATTGATCAAGACCTCTCCCGTTCCCTCTACAACCCACGCACGAGCAGTTGATTCCTTTCGCTTGCCAACACCAACAGCTCGGCCGTACTTGTCAATTGTGACCTCATGGGGCACGTTCATGAACGGGTTGATATCACGCTTAAACTCTTCAAGAGCAGATCGAACCTCTTGAGGGAAAAGTGTGGGCTCAATCTGGTTCAGACGCTTCGCGACTCGGATCACCTTGGCGTAGTGGGAGGCCTTGACCGGTTCACCAAGCTTTGAGCGCATTTCCTGGAGTTTGACCCAAGCTGTTGGAGGAACATGACTTGTTGGTACAATTGGCAGGGCATGATATTTGGTGAGAAGGCGAGCGATTCGGAGGTACATCTCATTGAATTGAGGCTCTCGGGAGAAGTACGAGGCCGAGAGCGGAACAGCACGGGCATGGTCAACTCCCTGGAACGGTATAGTGAATTTGGAACTGGCATCTGTTGACAAGGCGAGGCCGTTGGGTTTAGGCTCGACAATTGGTGTTGACGTTTCGGTAGCAATGGTTCGAACGGCGAGGGGAAAAGATGGATGTTGCCTGGTGGGCTGGGGCCATGGTGCCCGGAAAGTCTTGCCCTGGCACCGCAGTTGCCGTAGGCTTTGTGTAAATGTCGACATGATGACCAATTCGGAGGAGGGCCCCGTCGGTATCGGGTATCGGACGAGGTTCACTGTCTGTCTAGAAAAACTTCACGGGATTTCGAGATCCATCAACGGCTAGCTTCTCATGATGGTCACGTGAAGAAGAGTGTGAGGAAGCTTATCGCAGCCACATATCTCTTATCTCAACCGCCACTTTTGAGCTTGCCCAGCCACCTCTTTTGAGATTTCGCGTTGCTCGGGCAGTAAGGGAGGACCCCACCAGCGCGGGGCAAGCAATTTCGTAATTATCGCACCTTTAAAAAAAAAACTTTCCCCTCCTTCTTTTTCCTTCCTCATCTTCACTCGTCTCTTTGTTTGTCAACCTGTTCTCAGCTGCCTAGCAAAGCATTCAAGATGGCTTTCGGAACTCTCTTCACCCGCGAGGTACATACTCTCGAGCCCTGAATCTGAATATGCTGCATTTGCATTTTGCATTTGCGTCTGCAAAGCTTTTCTGAGCGTCGTTACTGACTGGTCTGTTCTTTCAGAACAACTGCCGCTCTACTGCCATCAAGGCTGTGGCTAAGGCGAACGACATCGAGCTCAACATCGTCGAGGCCGAGAAGGGCAACGCTACCGCTGAGCACCTCAAGGCCAACGGCCTTGGCAAGATCCCCGCCTTTGTTGGCGAGGACGGCTTCGCCCTCTCCGAGTGCATCGCCATTGCCATCTACAGTAAGTGAAACTGCGTGTGATGCCTACGTGGTACCACTTTTTCTGTTTTCCCTCCCTTGCGAATGATGACCTAGCATTATTCTATACAGTTATCCCTGTCTGAAATGTCTCTCAAGAGTTCATTTGTGGATACCGTCTAACTTCTGACCTCGCAACACATCTCATCTTGTTTATCTTGTCAGCTTGTCGCGAGCTTCGCTAACCTGATGCAGTCACCTCCCAGAACGAGAAGACCACTCTTCTCGGTAAGACCAAGCAGGACTATGCCTCCATTCTGAAGTGGATGTCCTTCTTCAACTCTGAGGTCCTTCCCAACCTCATTTCTTGGTTCAGCCCCCTCAAGGGCGAGTCTCCTTACAACAAGAAGAACGTCGACGATGCCATCAAGGCTACCGAGAAGAACTTCGCCGTTGTCGAGGCGTACCTCCTCCACAACACCTTCCTTGTCAGCGAGCGTATCACTCTTGCCGATCTCTTCGCTGTTGCCATCGCCACCCGTGGCTTCCAGTACTTCTTTGATAAGCAATGGCGCTCCGAGCACCCTGCCGTCACCCGATGGTTCGAGACTGTCCGCAGCCAGCCCATTTTCTCTGAGGTTGCTGAGAAGGTTGACCTCCTCGACACCGTTACTCTGACCAACCCTCCCAAGAAGGCCGACCAGCCTAAGAAGGAGGCCAAGAAGGAGGCTAAGAAGGAAGCCAAGAAGGAGGCCGCTCCCGCTGCCGCTCCCGCTGCTGCTCCCGAGGCTGACGAGGCCCCTGCTGCCCCTAAGGCCAAGCACCCTCTCGAGGCTCTCGGCCGCCCCTCTTTCCCTCTCGATGAGTGGAAGCGCCAGTACTCCAACATCAAGGACCACAATGAGGCCATGAAGTACTTCTGGGAGAACCTCAACTTCGAGGAGTGGTCGATCTGGAAGGTCGACTACAAGTACAACGATGAGCTTACCCTCACCTTCATGTCCAACAACCTGATTGGTGGCTTCAACAACCGTCTTGAGGGTTCCCGCAAGTACATCTTCGGATGTGCTGCCGTCTACGGCGAGAACAACGACTCCGTCATCCAGGGTGCTTTCGTTATCCGAGGCCAGGACCACGTTCCCGCTTTCGACGTCGCCCCTGACTGGGAGAGCTACGACTTCGTCAAGCTCGACCCCTCCAAGCCTGAGGACCGACAGTTCGTCGAGGATGCCTGGGGCTGGGAGAAGGACATCACCGTCGACGGCAAGGTGTACAAGCTTGCTGACGGTAAGGTCTTCAAGTAAACAAAACAAAACAAAAAGGAAAAGAAAACTAAGAGCGATGATGATAATGGATTATGGTTAAATGGTTGGGAGGGTAAATGAGTTTATGATATTATATGCCTCATGAAGGCCCCGCTAGCTGGCAGATTCCCTATGGTAGTCCAAAAGAGAACAAAATGTGTCTGTTACATAGACATTTCTTGCGTATGACAACATTTACTGGTCTAGCATAATGCCTTTGGTGAACGAGAACTCAAGCTATCGCGCCGTGCTCTTCTTATGTGTAGTCAGATTGGGAAAAAACAAACCCAGCTACTAAACGTTTCTATCAATGTGTCATGCGATTTCGGTCGCTAGACTTTGTTGAAAAGACCGAACTAGAGGCAAAACCAATGACATTTCCATGCCACAATGGGGAAAAAGAGGCTCCGAAATAACAAGTAGATTTTTTACGTTGCTGTTAGGACGTGTAACTGGGTATCTATGAAGAAAGTCTTCTAATCCTTACTCCCATTCTATTCGTACAACACCCAGCGTATGGGCTGTGAGAACGCTCGCTTAACCAGTTCTCTGGTCCGTGAAAAATCAAGAGTAGGTGAATATGCCTCTCTTGGCAGGAATGCAAAGTTCTATAGACTTTTGGTAAACTCCTTAGTCCGTTGGTTCTTCCGGCAGGATATAGTTCGGATCAAGCTGAAATGGTGATTGTCGTACAAAGCGACTGATATCCACTTGATAGGATAGCTCGTTGATGTAGTCGTGCACCTGAGGTAAGACGTTAGGGATCTCTCCAGCCAATCCGCTGAATTCAGGAAGCGTGAGGATGTTGAAAGGCTCGCTGCGGCCCTTCTCGAACGAGTCGTCGACGAGAATCGTATTGGTCTGATCCCACAGACCCCCTTCAGAAGCCCGAGGATGAGCGGCCATAACTCTTGGATCAGTCCATATCTTTGTGAGACGCTTGTAGACTTGGACTTTTGTCATGTAGTCTTCTTTTGACAGATTGAAAGAATCACGCCCCCAAGTAACAAGGCATTGCTTGCGCTGTTCGGGTGTGAGGAGCTTCTCTACCATCTTCTCGACGTTCTCAGGACGGGCTGAGGACCAAATCGCAACATGAAAGGTCTCGATACAGTAGCCCAGAAACGTCTTCGCATGGGGTCGCTCGGTGAAGTTGAATGGACGCTTCTTATTAGGACGGTGGAGGAGCGTGCCGTTCAAATCGATGACGACAAGTATACGGCGTGGGTGAGGTAGCCGTTCTGGAGCGAGTTTTGCCTGGGCCAGGTATTTATGCGTAGGTTCTGGGACGCCTCCAGAAATTTTGCTGGGAACTTTTGGAGGGGATTGGGAACGAGGTTTTTGCGCCTCGGGGGGATGTCTCTTGCTCTTCCTTTTAATTCCCTTAGGAGCCCTTTATACAATCGTGAGTATTGATGGAGAAGCCATCGTATATTGCAGCACATACTTCTGTTGAGAGTTTGTTTGACCGTTCTGAGGGCCCTGGGGCGCATTCGAGAAAGCGCTTGGTTGCGCCAGTGTGAGACCAGGTATAGTTATCGACTTGGGCGCCGCGTTGGGGACACCCGAGGGTGCGTATCCTGTCATTGTTGTAGCTTTGCGAACCAAAGGAGCATGTTGCGAAGGTGGTGGTGGTTGTATAGCTTGCGAGATTCTCGACACCAGAGATCGAAAGGCGCGCAACATGGGAAGGGGACGGAGATGTCTAGGTAACCTTTGACATACAGAAAATAAATGTTTCAAGGACATGATCTAAAATGGCATAAACTGACTCAGTAATGTTAGTTCTTCAGGGTATCAGAAAAACCTGGCTACGAAGCAGAAGAGACGAAATTAGTGAGTCATTTTGTGCCATTTTGTAGCGCACTCTCAGGTCGTTTATTTTTGTACCTTGTGTAGCTTTTTTGTTAGATCCCTGATGGCGATAAGCATGTGTGGGGCTTATCGAAGCTTTGGGATAAAAAAAAGTTCCCGTCGCATCACAGTGTCGCATCATAACCACGTCCAAGACCGTTGTATCTCACTTTACACAGCATCACAATATGGCCATTAAGCGGAAACCGTCGTCCTCATTAGGACTTGAGAGAAGAGTACGACCGAGAAGAGAAGACGAGTGGGAGGAAGAGCCTGAGAGACAGAAGTCCTCAAGCGAGGATGATGACGACAATGAGGCTGAGGAAGAGGGCATTCGAGGAGATTCTGACGAGGAAGACGAAGACGAAGACGATGAACATGACCAAGATCAAGAATCTGGAGACGACTCAGAAGATGAGTCTGAGGTGAGTTTTATGCTCTTGCGCTTGATCATTGTTTCTGACCAGATATAGCCCGAGCAAAAAGGACCCAAGATAGACCTCTCATCTGTCTCATTTGGTGCCCTCGCAAAAGCGCAAGCATCACTCCCCTCAGGGCGTAAGTCCAAAACAAAGAAATCTACCGACGACGACACACCAAAGACAGAAACACCAGCACCCCGGAAACCCACCAGATCAAAGGACGACCCCAAACCCAAACGGTCATCTAAACATGCACCCCAAGAACAAACATCCAAAAAGCCCGTATCTCGTCGTCGCGAGATTCTTCCCGAAAATAAACGCCAATACCGTGATCCGCGATTCGACCCCTTAGTCGGCCGCGTCGACGAAGAAAAGGCCAGCAAAGCCTACGCCTTCCTGGACGAGTATCGCGACAAGGAGATGGCGGACCTGCGCACGCAGATCAAAAAGACCAAGAATTTTGACGAGAAGGAGAACCTCAAGCGCCAGCTGCAGTCCATGGAGTCTCGCAAGAAGGCTAACCTGCGTAGACAGGAGGAAGAGAGCCTGCTCAAGGAGCACCGCAAGAAGGAGAAGGAGCTTGTAGCGCAGGGCAAGACCCCGTTCTACCTGAAGAGGAGCGAGCAGAAGAAGCAGCTTCTCGTGAACAGGTATGAGGGCATGAGCAAGGGACAAGTTGACAGGGCGATTGAGAGGAAGAGGAAGAAGGTTGCCGGCAAGGAGAAGAAGGAGCTCGACTTTTTGCAGCGCCGAGGGCCGAGAGGATAAACCTAGCATTTCAGAGGTTATAAAGCGAATAAATCTTGATGCAACTTTTGCATGAAATGTTGTCTACGATGGTGTTGCTTTAACAAGTCTACCATGAGAAATTTGATACACCTGGGAAGGATACAGCTATATACAAGTACTGCGTTTACACTGATGAAAACTCATATTCAAGGCGGTATGGTATAATACTTCGCAAGCCCTATCTTCTGTACTTCCAATGCACCACATCCAAGTACAGACAGGCTCGACGTATCTCGGTAATACCTCTCTATAAGAGAACATAACAGAACAGCAAAAAAAGATAACAACATACAACAGCGAGGATTCGCTGGTCGTCACTGACCCAACTACTAGTTCGCCCCTCATCAGCTTATCTATGGAAGAGCGGACGGGATCCCGAGTTCTCTGATAGGTATGGTCGTATGTGAAAGTGTTGTTTGCAAATACAGCTTAAACGGGCTCGAAACAAGAGTCAATTGTGTCCATGGCGTTACCACCGATGCATTGCTCGCCAGTATCTTATTCTCTTCACACCTCTGAATGTGCTGCCTTGATTATTTGGCATCCGCAGCAAATGAATACGAAATGAAAAGTTCAATCTGCGTCTTCTTATGTGCAGTTGCTGCATTTGTAAGCAGCGAGCCTTTGCGAATCGCAATTCAGACCGAGCTCCTTGCAGCGTTGGCATTGTCCTAGACACTTCTATTTTTCACACTTTTTCGCTCCTTCCTCTGTGAGGAATTGGTCTCGGCATTTGGGTTACTCAAAGAAGGTATCAACTACAGGATCGTTTCGAGTTCTGTGTTCGGGTTAGCAAAGCTCTGAAGGCGGAAATGGCCTGTTACCCAC